GATAATCCTACTAACCCAGGTGATGCTGTTAGTAAGAGCTGGGTTGAGGGTAGTCGTGCTAGTTTACCTGGGCTTGTTCTTACTAGTGATCTCAATATGTCGAGAAATGAGATAAAGGCTCTAGGTGATCCAACAACCGGAAAGTCTGCTGTTAATAAGGATTGGACCCTATTACAAATAAGAAACCTGGACTCTTATGTAGCCGGCCTCTACGTCTGGATTGACGGTACACATACAATGACTGGTAACCTTAAATTAGGTGGAAATCAAATTGAAAATGTTGGTGATCCTACAACTGGAAAGGCCGCAGTTAATAAGGACTGGGTAGTTAAAATGCTAAATAAACCTATGACAGGAATTAATATTGCTGGTGATATTGATATGAAGGACTATGAGATTAAGAATCTTAAGGATCCCTCTGAGGATCAGTCTGCTGTTACAAAAAAGTGGGCGGTTGATAATAACTTTGTTAAAAAAGGTGGAATAATGCAAGGAGATGTGTCCATGGGAGGCTGGAGATTGTTTGATCTTATTGACCCTAAACTTGATAGCGAGGCTGTATCAAAAAAGTGGGTTGAAGATAAGATGTCTACAATTCCTAGCACCTCTGGTTTTACAATGTCAGGTGATCTTCAAATGGGTGGACATGAAATTAAAAATGTTGGTAACCCCACTTCAAACACATCCGCTGTTAGTAAAAGGTGGGTTACATCAGGATTCACTCTAAATGGTGATCTAACCGTTGCAAATGGTAATTCAATCTATACAACCAACAACCTTGGCGCAAAAATAGCTATTCCCAATATTCAAACTGTGGTTAACCAAATTTCACGCTTTGCCTTGAAATTGGACGGTTCAAATGAAATGACCGGTGTTCTCAAGATGGGTGGAAATGAAATTGAAAATATTGGGGCTCCTAGTGCTGATACATCTGCTGTTAACAAAAAGTGGGTAGAAGATAAGATTAGCGGTGGTAGAAGAAAGCGTGAGACCTACAGCGGACTTACACTATCCGATGACCTTGATATGGGAAACAATGAAATTATAAAGTTAGGTGCTCCTACAACTGATAATTCTGCCGTGTCTAAGAAATGGGTAACGGATCACGTCAGTGGGAGTTCTATAAGCAGTAGTGGCTTTGCTATGAGCGGTAATATTGACATGGCTGGTAATACTATTACGGGGCTAAATAGCGGGTCAACAGGATCTTCTAGTGCTGTTTCTTATGGTTCTATGACTTCCTGGTGTTCACAGTTTCTTAAGCGTGATGGTGGCACTCTAGCCAGCAATTTAGATGTTAACAATTATGAGCCAACTAAGGTGGGTGACCCTACAACTGACGGTTCAGCTGTCAATAAAGGATGGGCAATTAATGAGTTCATGAGTAGTAGAGGTGGACTGGTAAAGGGTGATTTGGATATGGGAGATTCAAGTGGAATTCTTGTCTAAAGGATCCTGTAAATGATAAGGATGCTGTTAACAAACAGTGGGTAGAAAAGAATTTCCTAAAACCTTCAACTGGTCTTACCCAAGCAACGGCTGACTTAAGATATGTAAGAATACGGCGACATATACATGCAGAATGGATTTGGGGTTACAGGGGAGTATCAACCGCTGCAGCAAGGTACTATGCTTACTGTCACGATCAGATTCCACCTTCATGGAGAACAGATCCTATTGATAATATGACAGACCTCAACCTTGAGTCAATTACTATTAAATCAGACTTTCCAACCTTTTCAACCATTCAAAATATACCAATAGCTCTAATTCTATGGGCTACTGTATGGGAAAAACAATCTAATGGAAAATTTACCCTGGTTAAGGAGGAAATTGCTCTGAGAACAATAGACTTAAGAAAACTGTCACACACCTGGTTTAACGGAACTTACACAACTACAGGCGGAAGTACAGCCTGCTACGTTTTCAAGGGTAATAGTATGTTCTATTTAGGAGCCCAGGCTGAGTTGGTAGATAACACGCTAGCTTGGTGTATTATAGTTAAACCTGAACACTCAATGCCCACTGGATCGAGTATGGATATGTCCTTTTGTTGGTCACTCCGATATTCGGGGTCAGGTATTTAACATGTGGTTTATCATAAGATAAGATGTCAAGGTGGAGGTCATGCTTCTCATGCTTAGGTAAGATTTGTGGTTGTCGTAAGAGTTCTGGTAAGAATGGAAAGGCTGGTGATATAAATTTCTCTGTATCAAATAATATTAACGTTGACGTCAACACATAGAATAAAAAAGATGATTTAAGTAATGTTTTTGACCCTAAGAGCTTCGGCCCCTTGAGTATAATTAAATATGATAAAAAAGATTAAAATAATAGATAAAAAAATGAGGTAAAAAGACCACGGAAAAAATGGTCTAGAAAAAAAATGGTCTAGAAACTTGAGCCCGCGTTTTTTGGGGAAAATATGGAAACCGCTGACCGAAAGTGGGGTGGGATCGCGGGCTGAAAAAGTGGTCTAGAACCGCTACTTCCTATACTACTTAACTTGATAATAATTTAAACCAGTCAAGTTGTAGTTTCAATATCTGAGAATAATACATGGGTGTGCGGAAATACCAGCTTTATTTCGAGTGTTGAACATGATATCTCACAAGTGAGCGCAGCGAACGAGTGAGATGTCATGTTCAACACGAAAAATAAATCTGGTATTTCCAACCACCCATGTATTTTTCTGTTTATTAATAATAAAAATATTCAATTATAAAAGCGATAATTGAAAAGCGATAATTTTCGCACGTGAGATTATCATTAATAATTTCACATGTGACTGAGAGATTATCATTTTTATCAGTGCTCGAAATCTCTATAAAACACTATTCATTATGATAAAAATTCATAAATTTGAACCACGCTGGAGCATGACAACAGCAAAATGTTTTAGAGTATGATGCACAATATTTTGGGAGGTGAAATACATGAACAATAAATCAGAGAGTGTTTACTTGAAACTCACTGGGAGGGGCAACACCCCTGATAATTGTTCATGAGGAATTTCAGGTAGATTTCCAGTGCACTTTTAGGTAAATTTAAGTAGATTTTCAGAAGATTTTCAGGGGAATTCAGGTAATTCTCAGGACATGAGAAAGTGAATTTGCAAAATAACTGTATTTTCGGAAAAATTATTATATGTCCTGAAATTTTTTGTGCATCTGGAAACATTTTGGTAACCCCCTCCCTTGTATCTAACCTCACACACACCCTGAGACGAAATGCTCGCAACGGCACTGAGTATACATCTTTTGAAAACAGGCGAGGGGTTATTGCATGCGTGTATTTCAAGTAGCGTACTGATTAATGCAAAAGACATTACACAAAATATGATTGATTTAGTACAGAACTTCAGCCACATGCTGTTTTATGGATTGTTGTTGATAATTTTCCCATGTATCATAGTTACCCGTAATTCTCACATCAGTATTTAATGCGGTGTAATTTGAAGAGATTGATTTAATAGTTGATTGCATGGTACACAGGGCCACTGCAAGGAGATTAGAGAGGGGGCCGGGACAGATGGGAGGGAGGATGGAAGGCAGCGGAGATAGAGGGGAGGGGAAAGAGGGGAAGGGGCAGAAAATACAAATTGCTTAAAGGCGTAGCGTAGCGATAATAAGTTTAATACAAATCAAACAAATTGTTAGGTAATTACAGTTTAGTCTTCAAATCAATTTGTTTGCCTTTACATTTTAAAATTTTTTCTTAAATTATATGGTAATTTATGAAACAAAGAGCTTCGTTGAAAAAGAAAACAGTCTTGTTGTTTAGGCAAAAAGTTAAAGCAACAAAATTCGTAAATATTAATTACTCAAAGCAAACTTGCCGTATATTTCACGATTTCCCATAGTAAATCAATTGTTCTCATTTCTTCAAACAAAATTGCTTCAAGCTTGTTGTATATGAAACGATTTTCCAAAGATATGTCTTATAAAATTGAAATCTTGCTTATCCCACTCCTACAAGCAATCAGCCATATTTTTGAGATCAGTGAGGATGACCACCCACTTTACCATCGTTGGTCACGCCCGCCATCATTGATGAACTTTAGACATCGCTAATGCTTTCGTTTCCCCGGGTATAAATAGCCGGAGGGAATTAGTACCCTCGCCCCGGGCTTACGCCCGGAACGGCGCTCCGCGCCGTTGGCTAGGGAAATATATCAATCATCATATAACGTGTACAAACGTTTTACCTGAATAAAGTATTTCTTGATCGAACCACGTCAATGCCACCGTCGGACATCCAGTTAATTGATACCAACCATTAATCTTAAAATATTGTTAACATAAATAAGATTTTGCTGCTTCTAGAATGCCGATTCTGGGACATTTTGATGACAAGCCCTACACCCCCACCCCCAGGTTGACAAAAAGACTAGTTAACCACTACTGCGCACCACCTCCCGCGCATCCGATGACGTCACTTCCGGTTTTCTCGCAATCACCTTGCCCGGACTTGTCCGTAACTATGACGTCACTTCCGGTTTATAAAATGTCGTCACCACGCCTCCCGCCAGCCCCCGCCGCCCCCGCGCTTGGGGTAGTCTCGCAGAAGTCTTGCCTAAGGCTTCGCTAAGCCGACCCTAATAAGTCTTCCATAAGTCTTCCCTAAGTCTTCCCTAAGTCTTCCCTAAACCTCCCCTAAGTCTACCCAAAACCTACCCAAAGCCTACCCTAACCCCACCCAGAACCTACCCAAAAACACCCAGCGCGCATGCGCACACCCGTTTTGGGAAGTCTTCGATAAGTCTTCCATTACGTATGTTTTGGATCACGTGACCTATGACGTCACTTCCGGTTGAATAATCATTCCTAAAAAAAATTTTAAATTTTTTTTTTCTTTCTATATAATAAACAATGCAAACGACAGGAGTTAAATTCAAGTCCGGGTCTGGAATCTCCAGAACTCTAAGGGGATGGTACAACTGGCTAACCACCCACGTACTGTCATCCATCAGGAAAGGTTTGTCCGACGCATTCAATACCATGAGGAAAAAGGTCGTAAGACTATATGGTGGTAAAGAGGAAGAAGAAGACCAATGGTACGACGCAAGGGAGAACTTTAGCGATGAGGACGAACAGTGGTACGACGTCAATCCTGAAGAGGACCTAAAACCCATCCTAACCAAGCGTGGTATAAAAAAGAAGGCAAAGAAGTATGTCATCAATCCTAACGGATCGTACGATCCGGCTCACTTCCTCAATATCACAAGGGACGAGGTTGAGGCGCTCGTAAATTCTGGAACAGAACCGAGGAACGTAAGCATGTCCCTAGCATGCGAGATGGTAAGAAACGATCCGAAAACTGAGGAAGAAGTATCCGTCGTCGAACACTTCAGATCAAGAACCCACAAACTCATCGGTATAGATGACACGGAAGAGTCCTTTAACACCATGAAGGAAAAGATGCTAAAATCCTTTTCCGAATACCAGAAGTGTGGTAGCGGGTGGAGGCTTCGGAGGGTAGATCTGCTCGAAATTCATATCGGAGAATACCAACCGTTAAGGGGAAAGGGCTACGAACCATTATCCGAGACAATCAGGAAAAAGAAAGCGATCATCAATATGAAGAACGACGACGACGAATGTTTTAAGTGGGCTGTGACCCGCGCACTGAATCCTATCAACACCCATCCGGAAAGAATTTCAAAGGAACTCAGGGAACAGTCCAGAAAGCTAGACTGGGAAGGGATAGAGTTCCCAACACCCCTGAACAACATTCGGATCGAGCGGGCTCTTGGAGAAACATCTGGAGTTATGTTCGAACAATAACTATCAGAGGCATGAGTATCCAGAACCCGGTACCGCCACAGAGTTTAAAAATTATGAAAGAACACAAACCGTTCCGTTTGTCATCTATGCGGACTTCGAATGCTACATCGAAGGGATGGACACGGTTGAGCAAAACCCTAACAGATCAAGTACCGCACAATACCAAAAGCACAGCCCCAGCGGATTCTGTTACTACGTCAAGTGCTTCGACAATTCCATTTACGGACCCAAGCTGGTACACTATACCCAACAATACGAGGGAGAACACGTTACCAAAAAGTTTGTGGATATGTTGGAAGAGGAAGTCCATGATATAACAACAGGTTTAAATTCAAGGAACCTATCAGGATGTTTTTCAAAGATACCAAAAATTATGAAAAGGCAACTGTCTGTTATGCGTGTAGAAAGGAATTCACTACGAAAGACCGCAAGGTTAGGGATCACTGTCATTATACGGGAGAGTACAGGGGTGCGGCACACAATACGTGTAATTTAAAAATGAGAGGACCGAGATTCATCCCGGTACTTTTTCACAACCTCGAAGGATACGATGCTCATCTATTCATTAAAAACCTTGGGGTAAGTAGTGGAGACATCAAATGTATTCCTAAAACGGAAGAGAAGTATATTTCCTTTACTAAGGAGATAGAGGTCGCTAGGTTTACCAACGAAGAAGGAAAGGAGAAGAAGGTCAAAAGAGAGCTAAGGTTCCTCGACTCATTTAAATTCATGGCAAGCTCCCTGGACAAGCTCGTCAAGGGTTTGGGTAAGGACGACTTCAAAAATTTGGATTTGATGTTAGGGCGTAAAACTAATTAACAGAGGGAGTTGCTTAAACAGAAGGGTTTTTACCCTTATGAATATATGGATGGCTTTGAGAGGCTTGAAGAAATATCGCTCCCACCGAAGGAGAAATTTTTCAGCAAGCTCAGCAACGAAAACATAAGCGACATGGATTATGAAAGAGCCTGGAACGTATGGAATACATTCAACATGAAAACCATTAGGAACTATCACGATGTGTACCTGATAACGGACGTCCTCCTCCTGACAGATGTGATGAAAAACTTTAGAAAGGTTTGTAAGACCAACTACGGATTGGATCCAATGTGGTACTACACAGCACCCAGCCTGGCATGGGACGCTGCGCTGAAGTTAACTGGTGTGGAGCTGGACCTCATATCCGATCCGGATATGTACCTATTTATCGAAAAGGGTATTCGGGGCGGGATTAGCACCATTACCAAAAGGTATGCCAGGGCAGATAATAAGTATATTGAACTTTCTAAGAACCTAACCTGGTTGGAAAGGTTCAGAAAGTGGATGGGAAAAAAGTTTTCCGGTCTATCAACCGCAATCATATCTATGGTTTGCACGATCATCACAATCATTACCGGTACGAAACTGGTGGTTGGTCGCGACGATGAAGAGCGGTCCACATTCCTCCCCTATATGGATGCGAACAACCTGTACGGATGGGCAATGAGTCAACCCCTACCCATCAAGGACTTCAAATGGATGGATGATGAAGAACTGGAGGAGTGGTCAGACCACAGCTGCATCCTTGAAGTGGATCTAGAATATCCCTACGAACTACACGACAAACATAATGAATACCCCCTTGCACCCGAAAGGATAATGGTTAATAAGGTGGAAAAGCTCGTTCCGAATCTCAACGACAAGGAAAAATACGTCCTTCACCATAAGAACTTAGAACAGTACCTGAGCTTGGGGCTAAAACTCACTAAGATCCATCGCGGACTGAAATTCTACGAAAAGCCTTGGATGAAGGAATATATCCAGCTTAACACAGACCTGCGTACCAAAGGTACTACAGACTTTGAAAAGGACTTCTTTAAGCTTATGAACAACTCTGTGT